GGCATGTTGTAGCACAAGATAATTAGTGTGCTGACCATTTTCATTTATATAGTGCTCTGTGAACACAAATTAGTTAGCATAAATCAGTTGAATGACGAAAAATTAGGTGTCTATTTACTTGTGACCACTCAATGTATATTAGTTCTAAATTTTAAAGTGTGTTATGTAACTATACATGTATTTGATAGTTCATATACACACATGATTCATAGTATTTCGAAATTGTATTAGGATAGCTTTGCATGCAATTTAAGATTTGATATTGATTATTTTGTCCTTTCAAATTAAATTGTGACATTAAACAGTGTAGTGGCCAAGTCCGAGCTTGGTAGGTCACGTGACCGACCAATTCCTGAATGAGAGATGATAAATTTCTCGACCTATAATAAAGGAACTGAAGCGCAACAACCAATTATTGGAGGGGTGGCGCGAAATGTGAGTGGGAGGGGGGGGGCAAATAATCAACGAGTGATAGAATCACGAGTTAGCACGTAATTTAAACATATTTAAAAGCTCCTCATGCGTAAGATAACCTGGCTAATTTCTTATAAAATAACATTTTGTTGGTTTATCGTACGCATATCGTTACCATCAAAATAATAAAAAAATCACGCTCTACACATTGGGTCCGTGGGTGCACTTTTATGGCGACGGTTAAATCGCAATATTCCGTTAAACGAGAGTAGCCCAAAGTTGGTGATAGGTGGTGTTGATTAATTACTTTCTCTCTAGTCTGTCAGGTCAAAATTAGGAAGGCTCGTACAGGTAGCCCTTAAGTATCTGTGCGCGAATATCGGAAAATATACAATGTGGGACATGCCTTAGTGGTGGCCGAGCAACTGTAAAGGTTTGTCTATGCCACTTATGACAAGTTGTAAAAATATATATAAACTACAGCACAATAAATCAAACACGTGATTAATATATAAAGAAGAGGTTCTTCTACAGTAAACACTTTGCGAATAAACTCCATAACGAACTTTCAAGAAAATTAAGTCGTTTTATACGAGGATTATTTTTGCATAAAAATGTTTTTTGACAAATTAATAAAATACACAAATATTTCTAAAATTACATAAAGCAATAACTGTCAATAATATTGTTTGCAAATTTTAGGAATAATATTAAATTATATCAGTTTGTGATGAAATGTTAATATTGTTACGCCTCCGTTCGTTAGT